ACTTTTTAACTTAAAGGAAATCAACATTTTTAGATTCCACATTTGGGTGAGATTGTGTGGTACTTGTCTCTGTGCTTGGCTTACTTTGCTTAACATCATGACCTCCAGTTCCACCCATATTGTGGCAAATTCCAAGATTTCATCATTTTTTATGATGGAATAGTATTCCATTGGATAGGTGTGTGTATTTTTCACACTGGCTGTACTAATTGTAGGAACTGTGTGCCATCATTCCCTTTTCTCTACATCCTCACCAGCACTTGTTTTATTTATATGTGTATGTATATATGACAATAGCCAGTCTATAGTCTGATTGGAGTGAGGTGATACCTCATTGTAGTTTCTGATTTGCATTTCCTTGATGACTAGTGATGTTTAGTGTTTTCTCATGTATCCCTGTCTGTTTAAATCTACCGACAGTTTATTAATTGGATTATAATTGGATTATTCAGGGTTATTTTGCTGTTAAGTTTTCGGAGTTCATTATATGTTCTAGTTATTAGCCTCTTGTCAGACACATAATTTGGGAATATTTTCTCCCATTCTAAAAGTTGTCTCTTCACTCTATTGATGTTTGCTTTGCTGTGCAAAAGTTCTTTGATGAAATTCTAGTAGTCTGTAGTGACTTTCACTTCCTATGCTTTTGGGATCTGATTAAAAAAAAAAAAAAAACTTTGCCTATTCCAGTGTGTCTTTGCCCATTCCTGATGAATCTCTTCTGTGTTTCTTCTAGTAGTTTCAAAATTTTATGTCGTAGATTTAGGTTTTTCATTCATTTTGAATTGATTTTTGTATATGTTAAAGATATATGTTAAAGATTTATTTATTTATTTGAAAGGCAGAGTTACAGAAAGGCAGAGACAGAGAAAGAGAGGTCTTCATCCACTGGTACAGTCCTCAAATGGCCTCAGTGGCCAGAGCTTGGCTTATCTGATGCCAGGAGTTAGGAGCTTCTTCTGGGTTTCCCACGCCAGTGCAGGGGCCAAAGGACTTGGGCCATCTTCTACTGCTTTCCCAGGCCATAGCAGAGAGTTGAATTGGAAGTGAAACAGCCAGGACTCAAACCAGTGCTCATATGAGATGATGGCACTGCAGGTGGTAGCTTTATCCACTAAGCCATAGCACTTGCTCTACATGCTATTTTAATTACTACACTTTGTAATATATTTTAAAGTCAGGTAGTATAATGCCTCCTGCTTTGTTGTTTTTGCTCAAGATTGCTTTGTCTATTTGAGGTCTTTTTTGGTTTTATTAACATATTTGAATAATGTTATTTTTCTAGTTCCGTAAAAAATATCACTGACATTTTGATAAAGATTACACTGAATTTGTAAATCAGTTTGGGTAGTGTGGAAATTTTAACAGTATTGATTTTTCCAATCTGCAAACACCAGATTTCCTTCCATTTCTTTGTGTCTTCTTCAATTTGGTTCATTGTAGAGATTTTTCATCTCTCTGGCTAAATTTATTACTAGTGGTGTTTTTTTCCCCTTTTTTGTAGCTGTTGGGAATTGGATTGCTTTCTTGATTTCTTTTTTAGATTTCATTATTGTTGTTTAACAATGCTAATGATTTTTATTCATTTATGCTGTATCCTGAGACTTTGCTGAATTCATTTATTAGTCCTAATAGATTTTTTTTGGGTGGAGTCCTTGTTTTTTGTTTTTTTGTTTTGTTTTGTTTTGTTTTTGTTTCTGCCAGGCAGAGTTAGACAGTGAGAGAGACAGAGAGAAAGGTCTTCCTTCCGTTCCTTCCATTGGTTCACCTCTCAAATGGCCGCTACAGCTGGCGCTGTGCCGATCCGAAGCCAGGAGCCAGGTGCTTCCTCCTGGTCTCCCATGTGGGTGCAGGCGCCCAAGCACTTGGGCCATCCTCCACTGCCCTCTTGGGCCACAGCAGAGCTAGACTGGAAGAAGAGCAGCCAGGACTAGAACATGGCACCCATATGGGATGCTGGCGCTGCAGGCAGAGGATTAACCAAGTGAGCCACGGCGCTGGCCCGTAAGATTTATTTATTTATTTGAAAGGCAGAGGCAGAGAGAGAACACAGCCAGGACTCAAACCAGGGCTGCAGGCACTATAAGCAGCAGCTTTAGACTCTACATCACAGCGCCAGCCCTAGAATCCTCTTTTTATCTTTAATGTTGGTGAACTTGATTATAATATGTCCTGAGGTGAATGTAGTGAATTGAATCTATCTACCTCTTTCTGACCTTCAAGTATCTAGATAGTTGTATCTTTCTCTAGATTTTTAAGTTTTCTGTTATTATCTTTTTGAATATGCTTTCTACCCCTTTGATATTTGCAAGTCCATCTTGAATCTTGATTACTTGAATATTTGCTCTTTCTGTGCTGTTCCAAAGGTTCTTGTAAGTTTTCGCCATTCTTGATTGGGGGGGAGGGTTTGTATTTTCAAATAGGCTGTCTTTGAGCACACTGAGTCTTTCCTCTGATCTATTCAGCTAGGTGAGTTCTGTTATATTGTGAATATTGCTTAGTGAACTTTTCCATTGAAGGATTTCTGTTTAGTTTTTTAAAATTAATCTCCATGTCAAACCTCTCTGTTAGAGTATTAAGTCATTTCCTGTATTCTCTTGAAGTTCATTGATTTTCTTAGAACAGCTAAATAAAATTCTTCACCCAAGCATTTGATAATGTCAGATCTTAGGTGGTTGGTTTCTGACACTATTTTTGTTCATTTGGTGAGGTTTTTATGAGTTATCTATGCTTGTTGGCCTATGATGTCATCTGTGCATTAAAGGATTATTTTTTCCCAGTCTTCGTAATCTGACTTCACATGTGACTGCCCTAGAAATTCTAAGCAGTCTGTTTCTTTTCTCTGAGCTCTGACACTTACACCACTTTAGCACTAGGTGGCACCCTAAGTTGAGGCTTGCCATATTTCCCCTGCCAGTGTGCCCTTGTTGCCTTGGTGACTGCCTGAACTCAGATTTGTGCCAAATCGACTGTTGACAACACTACTCAGAATGAACTGAGGAGTTATTGAAAAGGGTAGTCTCTCCTTTCAAGCCTTTCCCTGGAGCCAGGGTGATCTCAGATGTTCCTCCCTGTGGCCACTAGCACTGCAATGCTACATCACAGCCAGCCCAGACTAGTACAGCACAGAAATAGGACCAAAGCCAGCAATGTTTGGGTCTGTCTGCTGGCTAGGATATAAGTCAATCAACTGGAGTCATGGGACTCCACCTGGCACTGGGGCAATAACAATGCATGGGGAAAGGGGAACGGTAGGATCTGCTCCGTGTTGAATTTTACCAGCCCAGCACTCAGTTTCAAGAAACAATCCTTGTGAGTCTTTGGTGTTTGCCCAAAGTTGGAGGAGGAGTGGAAGTTGGCACCATCTGGGCTGTCTGGGCTGGCACTAAAGTGGGTCCCTGTTTGGTCTGATAGTCACCAGATCCTGTGCAATCTCAGGATGTACGGCTGGCCCACATAAAACTGACAGTGATATATTGCTGAAATAAATCTGACCCACTAGGGCACAGATCTCCAGTGTTGGGGCAGGGTTGCTAGGCTGTCCCCTAGCTGCCTGGCAAGGCAGGGACCAAATAATCTGCAGATACAGGGCTGGGGGAGGGGCCCTGGTATCCTGTCAGCCACTGGTTTTTATGGTGGTAGGCCTGACACTGGATTGCAAGTCTAAGGTCTTGACTTTATTCACTCTTTCTCTCCCAAATGAGAGGCATCTCTCAATAGCTGTGCTATTTAGAGCTGAGGGACCCAGCCAACTCTTTCTTTCGAGGCAGTCACAAAGAAGAATGTGTATTCAAGTGGAGCAAGTTAGGTTCCACCTTTTGATAATGAATGTCGGTGAATTTTCTTTTTCTTTTTCCCAATGTATTTATTTATTTATCTGAAAGTCAGAGTTACAGAGAAAGAAGACACAGAAAGAGAGAAAGAGCTCTTCCATACGCTGGTTTACTCCCCAGGTGGTTTCAACAGTCAGTACTGGGCCATACTGAAGCCAGGAGCCAGGGACTTCATCTGGGTTTCCCACGTGGCTGGCAGAGGCTCAAGTAGTTGGGCCATCTTCTTCTGTTTTCCCAGGCCATTAGTAGGGAGCTGGATTGGAAGTGGAGCAGCAAGAGCTCGACTTAGTGCCCATGTGGGATACCAGCATCACAGGTGGTGACATCACTCCCTGTACCACAATGCTGGCTCTTAAAGAATTTTCATACCTGTTTTAAAACACCAAAGCTTTCAAATGTCCTATCCTCTCTAGTTTCTGTCTGCTTTTGATCATTGTTCAGTACCTTCATATAGTTGGGTTTTTGTCTAGAACGGGTTATTATCTGGTAATCTAGTATAAGCCATTTCACCATTTCTGGAAGCAGAAACCCCTTCCTCTGTTTTCCCCCATAGCATTCATCACTTTTGATGTTTAATATAATTTATTTGTTTGTTTTGTTTTGTATGTCCTCCCACTAAGCTTCCTTAAGTCAGGTTTTTTTTTTTTTTTTTTTTTTTTTTTTGTCTGTCTTTCTGGTAAGTTGCTAGATGTTGAATTGTTAAATAAATAATTAGTCGTTGACCTTTAACTCTTTAAAACATCCATAAAGAGCTTGTTAATGATGAAAGATAAGCCACAAATTTTACAGCCACTGTTCCCCTGGTACACTGCTTATCTGAGGTTCTGTTGTTCTTGGTTTACAGAATAGAGGTTTTGGCATGTCCTTGTCATCACAACTGTCATGTGGGTCAGTTTAGCAGTGTAGGTGGGCTGGCTACCGATCAAGTGAAATTGCATATGAAAGTGCTTTGTGAGGTATAAACCACTATGAGGTTATAAAATGTATCAGGATTATATGCGGTTGTATCACTAGACTAGCTTTTTCAGGTTTCATTTTCAGAGAAAGAATGATTGCATTTTTAAGGGATGGATATTTTGAATGATCAAAACAGGAACAAAAGTCATCACAGTGTGTTTATAATAAAATTCTTACTAAATTCTTATTGATGTTTTATCTGATTTTTTTTAGGAACTTCAGAGATTTGAGAACTTTGTAAAATCCCGTCCTCCTTTTGATATTGTTATTGATGGCCTCAATGTTGCCAAGATGTTTCCTAAAGCTCGAGAATCTCAAGTGGTAAGTAGGAGTTTTATATTGTTATTCCACATCTCCGGAAATAATTAGTGTACCCAATTGTAATCTTCCTTAGGGGCTCTTAGCTCCTCACTTTTTTTCTTCTAAAACTAAGCTCCTAAAGTTCCCACAGTGACCAAATGCTCATCTAAAACATTTGCTGTTTTTATCTGTGACAACTAAATGTCTGTCGTAGGCTGGAGCTAAGAAGAGTGTGCAATTAAAAGGAAGACCAAGTAAGAAAGGACCAAAGCTTCCTTTATTTATATAACTTCAGCTAAGTTTCTCATGGACTTCTACTCTCTCTTTGGCATTGCTTTGCCATTTTGCTATGGGTCACAGTTATGTATTTTAAAATTACCAACATAAATGCTCAGGAGATATTAGTCACTTGTTATTCACATTTATTTTTTCCAAACATAGTGCATAAGCAGTTCCTTTTTTTTCACAGGCAGCCATTTGTTTTGTCAATTGATAAACTGATAATAGTTTCTAATAAGAATATCATGATTTTTCATAGTAGTAATGAGCAGTTATTTTAATTCCTATTTTATAGATTAGAAAATTGAGGCTAATTTTGTGGAGTAAATCCTTAGAAAATAGTCATAACATCAAAATTAGGTTGTAGAGAGCTCCTAAGGTTTCAGGCTTGTGGCCATTATCACTGGCAGTCTATACCTATTCATCTGTAGTTGAACTGTGTTTTTCTTAAAAATTACCGCCAACATAAAAGCTTTTTCCCTCAGAGACGTTTCTAGTCATTCTGGTCGTTTATATTCAGAAAAGCTTATGAATACTGACAAAGAACAAGTTGATTTACAGAAATTCCTTGTATGCCATTCATTCATGTTTGTGTCTATATTTTTGTGTTCAAGTATGCTTTTTTATTCCATTATTTAAAAAAAACACAAAAGCAAATTGAAAATATTTGGTCTCATAAATATTTGAGGGAGCCTATGAGATTATAATATTCACAAAGGCAAACCGGAGAAAGAGGAATGAAATTCTTATCAGTTATGTTTAGAAGGGCTCAGAATCACAAGGGCTTTTTCTGAGAAGTTCCCCATCTAATCTATGAGAAACAAAAATTTTTTATTTTATTTTTTTATTTTCAGCTTTACACAAAACACTCAAAATCATCTTGCCAGAAATAGGTAGCCCAAATTGCACTAAAAGTTTTAGGGCAAAAGAAAGATATTGAAGATGATATAGTGGACATATCCTCCAACATTATGAAAGAGAAATTCATACATTCTAGATTCTAGTGCATGATGATAAATGGTGAGGCAAAGAACAAAAGATCAATCAGCAAAGTCAAGCATTTGCTATTTTGACTCTTTTTATTAGTAGTAGTATTGTTTTTTTAAAGATTGATTTATTTGAAAGGCAGAATTGGGAGAGGAGGGGTGAGAGATCTTTCATCCACTGGTTCATTCCCTAAGTGGTCACAGCGGCCTGGGGCTGGGCCAAGCTGAAGCCAGGAGCCAAGATTCTCCCACCCAGAGGCAGGGGCCCAAGCACTTGGGCCATCCTCTGCTGCTTTCCTAAGCTCATTAGGCTTTTAAATAAAATAAATAAGTAAAACTTTAAAAAAAAAAAAGTGGAACAGGAGCCGGTGCCATGGGGTAGTGGATAAAAAGCTGCTGTCTGTAGTGCCAGCGTCCCATATGGGCACTGGATTGAACCCCAGATGCTCTACTTACCATCCAGCTCTCTGTTAATGTCCTGGGAAAGCAGAGGAGTATGGTCCAGGTGCTTGGGACCCTGAACCCATGTGGGAGACCCGGAAAAAGCACCTGGCTCCTGGCTTCAGAGCAGCCCAGCTCTGGCTGTTGGGGAGTGAACCAGAAGGTAGAAGATTCTCTCTCTCTTTCTCTCTCTCTAATTCTGCCTTTCAAATAAATAATAAATAAATCTTTAAAAAAACAAGTGGAGCTCAAACCAGTGATCACATGGCTGGCAGTGGCCTTACTACCACGCCACAATGCCAGGCCCCAAATTTAACAGAAATCTTAACTGCGAATATTCACTGAAGGTTTACTGACAATGCAGTAAAAGGCAGAGGAAATTCACACATTTCTTAGAGTAAGGTACAGAATTTTAAAGCAAGGGGAACTTGCTTGATTGATTTTTGCATTTTGAAAAGCTGTCTCCAGGCTGCACACCTTCCTGCCAAAAGTTTCCTGTAGACATTCAAGTGAAATTGACCAGCTTCAGAATGGCATAATTCAGTGAATGCAAAGGGTCCAGCTAGTCCAGGTTCTTTGAGAACAGCAACTATCTTTTTTTTCTTTTATTTTTTGTAAGATTTATTTATTTATTTGAAAGACAGAGTTACAGAGAGCAGAGACAGTGCTGGCCCCCAGCATCTATCTTTTATACTTGATTTTTTTATCCTTACAGCACCTAGTTACATGAATTACTAGTTGATTGGTGAACTTGGGGTAAAAGCTAGGAATGAGGAAGAGGAAATCAGTCTCTGTCCACTTGGAAGTATTAAGTTGTGTGCTGGTCACTCATTGATGAGCTCCATCGCTTTCCTCATGTAGTTTTAGAATCTAATAGGAAGAGAGATGTTAATAGAAATTAGACATTTTTTAAATACAAGCTGTAGTGCATATTATTAAGAAATATGGTAGTATCATGGGTACATCTGATGTGGTACCCTTACCCCATACATCCTCAGGATGAGGGATACCTTCTCTGAGCCAATGATGAGCTGAAAGGCACCATGAAGGATGAGGATGGGAGGTTGGATGGAGGAGAATTTAGACATAGAATGAAACTGAGCCATAAAATCAGTGAGGGCAGGGCTTACAAGGCTAGGACAGAAGGCAAGGACCTCATTACTCAGGGCCTTGAATGGCAGGTTAGGAAATTTAATCATGGGCTAGAAGCCATGAAAGGCACTTGAAAGGTTTTATTTATTTATTTATTTTACAGGCAGAGTGGACAGGGAAAGAGAGAGAGGCAGAGAGAAAGGTCTTCCTTTGCCGTTGGTTCACCCTCCAATGGCCGCTGCGGCCGGCGCACCGCGCTGATCCAAAGGCAGGAGCCAGGTGCTTCTCCTGGTCTCCCATGGGGTGCAGGGCCCAAGCACTTGGGCCATCCTCCACTGCACTCCCCGGGCCATAGCAGAGAGCTGGCCTGGAAGAGGGGCAACCAGGACAGAATCCGGCGCCCCGACCGGGACTAGAACCCGTGTGCCGGCGCCGCAAGGCGGAGGATTAGCCTAGTGAGCCGTGGCGCCGGCAACACTTGAAAGTTTTAATCAGGGAAATAATATGATCAAATGTGCAGTTTAAATGCATCCTCAATGTTCCTGAATTAGTGTGGAAAAAGAACTAGAAAAGATGCTCAAAGACCATTTGCGATTGTTGAAGAAGTCTTTGTGAGAGAAGCTATGAATTGAGGTGTGAGGTGGCAGTGCAGAGAGAGAGAGAGAGAGCACTAGAGAAGGGGTGGGCCCTACAGTATCCAGGAAGCTCAGGTTCCTAGCCAGTAAAATGGATTCAGGGTGATGTCATCCATTGAGATGGAGACTGGAAGACATGGTTAAAGGGAAGATCACAAGCTGGTTTTAACATTCTGTGGTGACTACTTGGAAGTGCTGAGTTGATAGTGAATACATGCATCTAGATTTAGACTAGGAGGTCTGGGTTAGGCACTGACAAGAATTAGTGGCTTATTGATGGTAACAGTTTCTTTTATATCATCTCAATAGTAGACTTGAATCAGATTGTGATTTGCAAATATTTTCTCCCATTCTCTGGATTTTCTTTTTTTTTTCTTTTTTAATACTTATTTATTTATTTGAAAGATTTACACAGAGAGAGGGAGAGATAGAGGGATAGAAATCTTCCATCTGCTGGTTCATTCCCCTGTTGCCCGGCAATAGCCAGGGCTGGGTCAGGCCAAAGCTGGGATCCAGAAGCTTCTTCTAATCTACCACATGGATTCAGGTGTCCAAATGCTTGGGCCATCTTCTGCTGCTTTTCCCGAATCATTAGTAGGGAGCTGGATCAAAAGTGGAGCAGCTGGGACTTAACTGGCACCCGTATGTGATGCCACCATAAGAGGCAATGGCTTAACCTTTTATGCCATAGTGCTGGCCCCATGTCTTCAGTTTCTTTATGTTATCTTTTTAAGCAGAAATTTTTTCAATTTTGATGAAGTCCAACTTTTTGATTTGTATTGTATCTAAAAAGTTATTGTCTACATCAGGAAGATTAATATGTTTTCTTACAAGTTTTATAGTTTTAGTTCTTTTTGTTTGTTTGTTTAAGAGATAGGTAGGTAGATAGAGTTCCCATCTGCTGGTTTACTCCTCAAATGCCCACAGTGACCAGGGCTGGGCCAAGCCAGATTTGGGAGCTGGGATCTCAATCCAGGTGTCCTATGTGGGTGGCAGGAGGCTGATTTGAAGCATCATCACTGTCTGCCAAGGTCGGCTTTAGCAGGAAGCTGGAGTCAGGAGCTAGAGACAGATATCAAACCCAGGGACTTAGATATGGGATGTGGGCCTCTTAACCACTAGGTCAAATGTGCGTCCTAATTTTGGTTCTTAACATTTATAGCATCTGCATTTTTAGAGAAACAATCCGATCGTGAGTAAATGATAAACCAACATATTCTGGAGTATAATGAAATCAGCGGGCACTATCCTTAGCCCTTTCTAATTCATTTATTTAGCCTTCTGTAACTCTGAACAGTTTAAACTTGCTACTTACAACTATAAAGTGTATCCTGTTTTAAAATATATGTTTCATTTCAGACTCAGCAGAAGTAATATTCTAGGGTTTTTGGTTTTATTTTTAAAAGAGAGAAGGGTTCTGAATGGCAGATCAATTATATAGTCTTCGGTTTGAGAACAATTAGAACATTTTGACAGGAAATTACAATGTTGATTCAATTGTTATTTATTGAGCACCTCATCCATTCCAGATACTGTTCTAAGTTTTGAGGATATTATTATAAGCTAATAACAGGAATGCTAGGAACAA